TGTGTGTGTGTGTGTGTGTGTGTGTGTGTGTGTGTGTGTGTATAATCCTTGAAATAAAATATCACCAAACGTAACCTCCACACTAGCGTAATAAAAAAAAAAGAAAACTTAAATTGAACACTATCTAACGGTGTTTTTATTTGGAGCGATTTAGCGTAGTAAACACTAAAAAACTAAAATACACCTGTTTCAGAAGCCAAATCTTTATCTATTTGCTTTATCAAAAATTGACCTATAAAAACAAAACTATTTTGTACTGCAGTACACATGTTATCCGTCATCGCGATGACAGGTGCCTGGGTTAATGAAGATTTTAACACTTCACGCGTGCTTGTACCTAATTACTCAAATACTTGTTTAATGATAGTTTTAAAATGAGTCCGACCTTGTCAAATACGTGGTATTGTTTTAGAGATCTAGTGGGATAAGAAAAAGAAAGTGAAAAGATTTTTTTCCAATTCTTGGCTCTGCGTCAACAAAAGTTGCCCCCATGTGTACATAGGAACTTTGGAACACGACAAGACCCTGTATACGAGTCAAGGCCGCAAAATGTATGTCTCATTCAATATATAACCGAAGAATTTGTACCACGATGGGGGCCTTTCTTACAAAACTTTGATTTTGATTTTACAAAACGCATGCATACAAGTCATTATCATAATTCATCAATAATTGAAAAGAAATGAGAAATCAACTCGACAACTATTTAGTGTTGCCCTGGTTGGAAGATACCATTGCTGCGTCACGAGGTACTGTTTACAATTCGGAGGGATAAAAACACAGATGGGAATGATTACGATGCTACAATTTCGCCAGAACGCTTGGCGAAAACCTTAAGACTACGGCGACTTCAAGATTGATAGCTCGCGATGGAAACGGGCAAGTTAGGGACTCATCTCGGGTCACCTCGGTTCAGGACACGATCTCTTAGTAGATTTCGGGCTTGGTGCCAAATGGACGTTGTTGAAAACACACAGAACACACTACGGCATGGGAGAGTACTGTCAAGACTTAATCTGCGGTCGGCAATACAGCTGACTCGACATCAGCTGTACACAGACCGTCAGGGACAAACCGTTTATACCAAGGTGAGGGGTTTTCAAACCTACAAAAATAAACAAAAGGATCATCAACTAAGCGTTAGAGGAAGAGCTTTTTGAGGTCTCAGTAAAATTGCACAGCCCGTATTTTTTCTTATAGCCGGATCAACCATACAAACACCGGTTAGTCCCTGTTTCTTGGTGGAAAGAAAAAAAAGGAGGTTACGTTTCCTAAAGTCCAATTATACCTCCCAGTCTTGCGTGCACTTCTTTATACAAAGAAGCCTTTTCTTCCGTTTCGTCTCTCAGCGGCGTTGTCAAGCGCCACATTTCTGAGACCGTTCTTTTACACAGAGAACCAAGGCGGCTCGTATAAAATGCAGTAGAACAATGGAGTTTCTTGTTCACCCTCGCGAGTGAAAGTTTTAGAACGAGCTGTATAGTGAATAGCTGCAGGGGATTCCTTCCGCGCGAGAACAGATTGTTTTGATTCCGTTCAGCCCTTCTCCCTTTAGCTGTAAGACAGAGATGATAACATAACGCCATCTAGACGGGCTCCCGAACCGTGCTGGGCGGAGAAGGTGACCAACTTTACATACCAAAACCTCAACCCCTACACACGAGCACTTTCCCGCAAGATATTAAACACATGTCACTTTCCCGTTTGGTTAAAGTAGGGCTTGTTTGGTTTAAAGAAAAGACGAAGGGTAATGCGAAATTATTTTTGAGACACCCCGGGGTGCGCTAGGTTGGTGTAACAGATGTCAGCAAGTTGCAAACCAAGCTAGTGACTTATTTGTACACGTTGTAGATTTATAGAATACATATGAGATACACTCTAGAAGAAATATGCTCATACCTTATTAAGCGAGTTGTCGGCAGCCGGACTAGCGTCCTCCTGAGGCTGAAACAAGAAGAAAAGTAGGTAAAATCAAGGAGGTTTAGAATAAAAATTTAACCTTCTTGGTAAAATATAGGATGGAATAGTACTTGTTGTCATTCCTTCTGGATCGTTACGCTAAGATGGTTGATTGCAGAATTGACCTACCAAGTTTTTGGACGTTGACATCGCCACAAAGTGAGTGGCGAACAGCACCAGTGTGCAGTACCGAAGGCTCGACATGACGCGTGCGGTCTCGGTGGCCCGGTAGTCCGAAGAGACTTCTATCGACGGCCCGGTGAATTTGTCCTCGTCGTTGTGTGAGTACTCAGTAGCGACTGCTGCTACCACCGCTAGCCCGTCTCGATGTAACTCAAAACACGCCGATTGCCCGCTATATATCGCCGCTGACGCCACACATGACTCGCAGGAAATTCACATTTATTATACAGATAACCTTGCTGAGGGTATACGCATAGGCAAATGGGGAATACCTGTGGCTCGGCCGCCGGTAAAGTAGGCGCCGATTCGTCGACGGAGTCTAGTTACGTAATCTTGTTTGCGAATATGACGCCCGCTTTACTCCTCTTGGCAGGACAGCCCGGAAAAGCCCCGTAGCTGTAATCTTTCCACACACAGGAAGGATTTAAAGTTCCGCCGAAGTTTTGCCCACAGAATGGCTTAGTTCCAGCGCTTAGCCATCCCCTCTTTCAGAGTTTAAAAAAAGCGCCTTAAAAAAAAGAGAGACCTTTTCTACCGGAGCCATAAATAGTTACAAACGTTCCACCGCTCATTTGGTGGTAGATTGAAGCCATCTGGAGTCCTGAGCTGGTTTGATCTGGTTCTGCCCCACAGTTTACAGCGGGAACAGTCGCGTGCACGGGATCAAATATACACGCAGCTAGCCCAGCTAGCTCCTGCCCGTCTTTCAACCACGCAATTTCTTGCTTCCTGGGATTCGCACGCAACCGCTCGGGACGAATCTACCTACCGTGAAATGAGGGACCTTTTTCTCTCTTAAATATCAACAACTGATTCGTTCCAAATGAAAATCGCTATGGGGCCGTCTTTCACCACATGTACCCCCTGCTACGGTAAAAAGCATGTGTATCAAATCTATCCAAAATGTATGTCAAAGATTTGTCTTGCATACCGACAAACGTCACAATATAAAGAAAGCCTTCTGATGCAGCGACTACAAAGACTATTACATGTCATATAGATGATAAAAAAATAAAAGTTCTCTAAATATCGCTATTATTAAGTTTTAAACATTGGGTAAAGGTAGTTTTCCTGTAACACTTTAGTTTACTGAGAATGTACTGATTTCTATATATCTATATTCTAAGAAGGAAACGAGAACGGTGATTGCTTCACAATGTGTATATCCGTTTGTTTTCTCACTACTGAAATGGGCTCATGAGTTGTGCAATGCAAATCCGCAAAAGGAATTATTATGTAAGACTTCCATCAGCAGTATCCTGACATATTTTAGCTAACGGTCGGCGAGACGAGGTAAAAGTACACGTACAGTCCGTACACTCAGTTCGCGGGAGGGATGGAAGATGGTCTTTCCCCTTTCAGGCGTCGCGTTGCCATGACAACCCCAAATATGGTCATTTGGGACAGGCGCCAACGTCATAACCTTGCTCCGGAGTTTTTCTGCGCCCCCCGTGCAGTCCCGTGGTTCGTATATCGACTCGTCAACAAGTGTCTTGTGGTCTCAACTGTTTAATCGGACACACGTGGTAGTGACGAAAAACAAGTGAAAGTTGTAAACATCAACAAGACAAAAGCGGAAAAAACAAACGCAAGGTCGAAGGCTGTTTACAGAGATACGCGATGTTTTGTTTGTATATTGATTTGCAACTTAACTGTAACTCAAAATATTTTGATAAAAGTAATTTTAAGGTAACGAAGTGAACTGAATCAGGAATATCTATATAATATAGTACAATTGAAAGTTGAAAAATAAAACTAGTTTCCAGTGTTGAGTTTTCAAGGACTGACAAAAGTTTCTTGTATCAGAGTGCAAGAACCGTAGCATGCATCACTACATAATGTCTGACCGTGAGAACTTCAACACGACATCCTGTAGTCATTTTATCGGAACGATCTTAACTTTGAACAACAGTTTTATCAAAAGTTAAATAGTAAAAACAACTGGAGGAAGTGAAAATCAAGACAACCACGTTTTCTCTTAAGACCATTTCATGATTCTTAAGTGCATTGTAAGGAAAGGTCTTCCGGTAAGTGGAGCCAAAGTAAACGTCACCCCAACCTTGACTTTGGCGCTGGTGAAGCCTGGAGGAAAATCAGGATTAATGGTTTGGGTGGAGTCAGTACTGTTGTATACCCACAGGAAACATAGAGGGAGGAGGACTTTTACACGGAATCCCGGGGATTTCATTACCAAGTGGGAACGACAAACATCCTAACTATTACTTGGATCTATTGGCGAATATTAGAAGACGACTTTAGCCATTCAGTTACGAGTATGTGGATTTAAACTATGAATCTTAAAAAAAGTAAGTAATGAATGAATGAGTCAATGAAAGAAATAACATAACGTTTAAAGAAAAATGATAATATTAGAGCAATATTAGATCGACATTTCATAACCAAACATGGCTAAAATATTTCAAATTTATTTTGTATGACTGCGTTTCAAACTCTGAATCTTATTAATGAAAGTTAACGAAAGAAATAATCTAACGTTCAATGAATATAAAATGGCATTGAGCAACATTAAATCAACATTTTATAGCCAAATATGGCCAAAATATATCAAATTTATTTTGTATGACTGCGTTTCAAACTCTGAATCTTATTAATGAAAGTTAATGAAAGAAATAATCTAACGTTCAATAAACGAAAAATGATATTGAGCAACATTAGATCAATATTTCATAATCGAACATGGCCAAAATATCTCAGATAGATTTTGTATGACTGCATGCATTTCCCATGTTATTGTGTAGTCTCTACCAGACTAACTACGCTGGCTATATATAGGAGAATATTTGCGAGGGGAGTTTGGCCACCCTGTATTGTAGGCTTGACTGGCCGCGCCGTTAGAGGGAAAGAAACTACCTCTCCGCGGCCGGACTCCCTTGGCCAATTTCATACTCTCTTTTTTTTGCCGAATTCTACGATCCGTATTCCCGTAGAAAAGCCTGGTGGAGGCACGTTATTGTGGCCTTTGGGAGAATAGCCGTTGGATGTGCTCACAACGTTCAGCACGCGTTGGCGTTCGATCTACGCGATAACAGGAACATTCTCAGCCAAGTCACTTCGCGAGGATAACATACCGCACGTTCTACCACCACCTGTTCTGCCGTGACCAACTTCTCTTGTATGTAACTAAACCGCCGTATCCTGGTGATGTTATCCTCTTTTAATCTCAATTTCCTTCTTTGCTGTAAAAAAAAGTCCGTCAGTTGTTTTTCACTGGACTGGAGAAGTGGCGTATGTGAAATATCTGTGTTAAGGGTGGGTTAACGTTGTTATGTCAGGGGAAGTGTAAACGAGCAATGTCACTGACGAAAGGCAGTGGATGCTACCTTAAACATCTGACCATGTCCAAAATCATATCCAGTTGTTTGCGTAACTGTTTTGGGCGTATCTTATTACCTGGATGTCTAACCTTCACCGACGTATGTACAAAGGAGCAATGGTTTTCAACATTTGCGTATAAAACATCTAATCCAATACAAAATACGGGGCAACAGCAAAAGCAAAAGGTCAGAAAATAAAGATAGAAAAACAGTGAATGGTTACAGTTGGGACAAACAGATGGTGTGATTTTAGAAAACATGTTATGTGTAATAGACTGGATTTTCATGTTTTCAAACTGTTACACGTAACAACAGGTGGCGAGCCTTTAGAAAACATGTTATGTGTAATAGTTTGGGAACGTAAAACCTTGTCTCGTGACGTTTCGTCACCAACTTAATCTCCACATGACTATCCCCCGTTACTAATACGGAAGGGGATTCAAAAACAAACAGTTGGTGGCCTAGTTTTTTTTCGCGGGAAATTCCGGTTGTTGGATACGTTCCGCCGCACGTTCCCAGGGAAATACTAGCCGGCCAATGGCAATCACGCGGTTGCAGGTGATTGACATGTCCTCGTTCCCAAATCCTCTAAACCCGGCGGAAGACAGTGACTGTCAAGAAGAGGGGGCCAGCCACTAAAACAACAACGGATCAAAGAAGATAGCTGTCGCGTACTTTCGCAATTTCTAAGAAGGTCTTATCTTCTCATTCTTTATGAGTTACTAGAATCAAAGATCTTGCAATAGGCAAAGACAATCAAAATGTGGACAAGACAAATTTATCTACCCTTTTCTGCACGTGTATTTCTATGATGGAATATACCGTTATAAAGATATTTCTAGCCAATTCAAAATTTTAGAGTGGACCATTTTTGCATTTTTAGATTTAGTTAGAATACCATTTCCCTCATCTATCCCTTCGCGTACGTCATCTCAACTAGACGAGTAATGTATATAACATCTGAACAAAGATATTATTTTCAAAAATATATAGTATCCTACTGAGATGGGTCATTGTCCGGTCATTTACCGGATATAACTTCCTAGGATTTTCCACTAACCTATTTCACGTGTTTATCTTATCTGAGAGCAGATAGGAGCTAGCGAGGCGATGTACGTCTCCAGAACTTGTGAAGAACTTCTGAGAAAGACTGAGCACCAACCATGACTGACGGAATCTAGTGGACCAATCTCGACTGACCATCAAAGATTGGCAGTTAGGTCAGAGAGTGGAATTTAGCCACATGACTTTAAGTAGGTGCCTCGGCCATATTGTCAATCAAGCGTATAACGCAATCATGAGTTTTTCCCCGGAGTTGCTACGAGTATTTGCGTTGCCAAGGTTCAAGAGTCATAAACTTAGGACTGCGAATTCCATTCTACTTGAGGGAAATATACTCGTAAATCAAATGCAAGAAAAAAACCCTAAGGTTTTACAATGATTTTAACGACCCTCAAGTCATTGCCAACGATCTTTCAGTGCACCCAATGAGTTGTCAATGACCTCCGATGATCTTTGAATGGTTGTCAAGGTATTCCAGTCATCTTTCGTTGATCTTGAAGGTTTTCCAAATATGCTTCAATGGTCCCTATGGTCTTATAGTGAGATGTCAATGACCAGCAATGTCTTCCAGTATTTGTTAACGATCACCAAAGCCTAATTTAGTGATATGACGTCAATGATCACCAAGGTCTTCCAGTTATCTGTCAATGCTCTTCAAGGTCTGAATTTACAATGATCCCTAAGTTATTCCAGTGATATGTCAATGACGTGCAAGGTTTTTCTGTGATATGTTGTTAATTTACAAGGTCTTTCAAAGACATTTCAATAATTTCTAGGGTTTTCGTATCCCGGTGATCGACTTGTAATTAGTCAACTTCTGTCTACGATGTTTCAAGGATGATATCCAAAGTTAGGTCGGCAATCGTGACATATTTTACGATGCAACTCAGCCTAATTCGCTGCAGCCATAAAGCTTCAGGCACGAGAAAATGCCCGTGTTATTGAATGCGAGGTGCCTTCTAGCGCATAGTTACTGATAGGGTATGGTTTGTGGGTTGATTGCTATCTTGAAAATGGCATACCTATGCAGAAGAACGTATTGTCTTGTTTGTATTCATCTTGGTTTTATCCACCTTGTAATTATGCATGTATCTTGTCAATGTGTTTTATACACGTTGTATGTTTTTGAGTAACTTTTGCTTTTTTGCCAATACTCAATAAATATATGTGAATAAAAAAATAGAAGAACGTATCAATAGCAAAGAGGTGCACAAGTAAGTTCAGAATCATAGACATAATAATACCTGTGATAACGTATACACCAAACGCATATTCATCAATCAAAAGAGTTCTTCTCTT